GAAGAAATATCCCTGCTGGTGTGTGATAATGCCTGGAATGCCCTCGGCTCACTATTTTCTAACCCAATTCTCACCCAGAAGGTTCAATTTTGACTATCTGATATGCTTAAAGGGTTGGAGGTAATGCAGCATTTACTTTTCAGAAATTAAGTGAAATGTAACTATTATAAGGAATAATGCTTGTTTGTTGCCATTTAGATTTGTAAAAAATACAAATCGTTTCCTTGTATAGTTGTAGTTCTGTGGAAGAGCAATTATTGGTATTTATGAATAAACCAAAAGACAATATTTATAACAGCGCTAAAATGCACAAGCATGTATTGAATGTGTACAATGTATACCAATGCGTAATATAGTTTACCTTATTTACTCTTGAAAATAACAATCTGTTTCATTCCTGTGTTATCAATGAATGAAGAGGCTCAGAGATGCTAATAACGAGTGCAGGACCCCACAGACAGTAATGAGCTGAGTTAGAACTGAAACACAGGTATGTCTGCTTGTAACCCAAATCCTTTTCACACTTCTTCCTAAAATGGACAAGTTAATGCATATACGCTTGTATTTTTTTCATGTTTTGGAACATTTGTAATAACTATCTGGAAGATGATTTTTCTGCAATAGACTTTTATCACACTTCACACGAACATTTCCTTGAAATAATAGTTAAATTGTGGTAACTCGCTACCCAGTAGAAAGCTTACATAAAACAGAGATTCTTAAGGCTCATATATTATCAAATAATAACAGGTCATTTCTTATGTTAGATGTGAATTAGATATAGGTTATTTTTTGTCTTAGTAATGCAACTATATAAATTCTAAGAAAGTAATCTATTGAATAAATATTGGGGAAAAAGAGGGTGCCTGATTTAAGTGTACTGACTTGGTTGGCTCTACTTGCCATGTGTTAAGCTGAAATAAACACTCCCTCATCTCTTTTTTCATCTTTAATTTGGATTTTAGTGACAACTTTAACAGAGCTTTTATCTGGCTCTTCTCATTTGTGTGTGTGTTTATTTCCTGTAAAATTGTGATGCATAATCGGAATAACTTTTTGAGTGTATACGATTTGCCACGAAAATTCGCTGTGAATCTGGAGCCAAAATTACACTTAGTATTTCATGGGGTTTTGGCCGATTTCCTTTCTGTTTTCTTCATTAATCGGGTGCCATCAAGGCCAGCAGTACCCACATTATATGTCCGGAGAAGAGCCAGGCCAGATGGGAACTGCGTGAAAGCTACCAGTTATCTTGCTAATTGAGCCAGCTAGAACCAGTTGTATTGCATTAAAAAATGTGGAATCCAACAACTTAGCTGTTCACACTCAATTAGCAGTGTGCTGGAGAATGGAAAATTCAAGCAAGGAGTCCATGTGCTCCAGGAAGTGACAGCTGCTTCCTTACCCAGCATTTAATATCCATGTAAAAATTTTTCAATAAATATTGTGAAGATGATTTTTGCAAGGATCATATATATGTTATGTCTCTAACTCACTTCATAATTTTGAAAAACATCACATAAAGAGAGCTCAGTGGTCTTTCTCCACTTTATAACCTTGCATTAGCACATAAAGAATTAATTGCACAAGACAAATTGTTGACATTTTACAAAAGAAGCAATCAGTAGAGAAAGGAGAAAAAATAAATCAGAAAGAAAGACAATTAGCATATATATATCATAAATGAAGGAAACAAAACATCTAGACTAATGAAGACTCAAGTGTTTCATTTGTACATCTTCTGAGGTAAAAATAGCTTTAAACAGCAACTCACTTCACTGGCATGTTTCGTTCCACTGTCTGACTGTCACAGATGATGCAGAATTTCTGTCTCTGACTGATCTTCGAGCTGAAGGTAATGTGACAGCAGGGACATTACAATTAGTATGCAAATACCCGTCCTCTGGGTTACAGATTGGCATTCTTTAAATCATGCTATTCTCAGATTTTTTCAGTTTGTTGTTAACTTTTCATTGGTCAAAACAGTTAAACTTCTTCGTAACAAATAATTGAATAAATGTGACATTTCTCTGAGTTGTGGCATAACTGAAATGAATTCCATTTGAAAGTTTGTTTTCTAAAGCTCATTTTCATCTGTTTATAAGACAAGTATTGTTCACCTGAGTTTAAATTAATATATACATTTTGGCATATATGTTTAAAA